GGTGTGGGGAGAGGATGTATAATTAAAATCTGTGCACTTTATCCTCTGTTAATCTTGCAAACTTGTGCAAAACAAACACTGAGCAGCAGAGCATTGCATGATGTTGTCTATAATTTCAAATGAACCCGGCTTAGTTTCCTTTACTGAACTGTAATTCCGCTTGGTATTTTAAATGAGATTTACTTTTTCCTTCTCTTCCACCCCTTAACCCACTTTAATTCTCAGCAGATTGCCAAGTGAAGGACAAGCTTTTACTTCAGCTCATCTGTCCCTCCACAGCTGATGGAAGAAGCAGCACACATTCTAACAAAAGCTGCAGCACATGACTATAGCAACACCACAGTCCCTCACAGCTTTTGTGTTGCATCTCCTAACTCCTGCTGCAAAGGTGAGGGTTTGTGGACCTAACCCTCTGATGTTGGTGTGTTCTACTATTTAGCCTATGCTAATGTATTTTAACAGTAATGTATGTAGCTGCTCTTTATATTAAAATAAATGTATTACTCTTGGATTTTTCACAGGCAGCAATGAAAGAGGTGGAGGCCAAAAGACTGGAAGGAAAAGCCTCACAAGACACACCTGCAAGTGTTGTTGAAACAAATCATGGAAATGCTTTGGAAATGGAACAAAGGTTTGTAACTGATCATCATGTCACTGATCCTTGTATGATACTGGTACTTGAAATTAAAGTCTTGTAAGCACCATAAGAATACAGAAGTGCTCCTTTAAAAATATGTAACAGAAAGATAATACAAACAGATGGTTCTTCTTCTTTTCCAAGTGTTCAGTTTTACAGTTGTGGAGCATGACACCTAACTTACTAAGCATTTCTTGAGGATGCACATGCTTGCCTTCAACAGGTTTCAGAATAAGTCTTTATGCCTTAATTGCTGGGATCTGTCTAACTCTTCTTTATTCTCAAACTTTTAGTCCTGCTCTCTGAATTCTGAAGTGCAGAGAAAATATTTTGAGGTCCCTGTTAATCACATAAGTAACATGTTAATCCCACCATAAATAGCAACATGTCACACACATTGAGCCAATTTATGGCACCATAGAATGGCAAACCAGGCAAAAATATTTCACATATTATGCAAAATGCTTCTGTGGGTGGCTTGTGTGGCACCTTAAGTTGACCATATGGTACGTCCTGTCCCCATGCTGACAGTTTAGCTGATTGTTGGCATCAGAATGGAGGGAGCCCTGGCCCAGCTGATATGGAGGAACCCCAGGCATGATTGCTGGCATGGGAACTGGGGCATGTCAACAGTGGATCTGGACTGAGTCTGGTACAGTTGGTTTCCCCCTACTCAGCAAATCCATAGCTATGTGCTGCCAGCAGTGTAGCTCTGAATTTGCTGAGGGGAGTGGGGAAGCCAGTCATGTTCCCCACCTGACAGTATGATGCCAGGTATAAAGCTCTGGAATTTCTGGTTCAAGTAGAGCCCAGGATTTCAATCTCAGGCTCCACATGCACTAGCAAATATAAAGGACATGGCTGGGGTCTGATTCCTGATCCCCAAAATTACACATCCAGGGCATGTGATTATTGGGATCAGGGATCTGATCCTAACAGTACCACTAAATTAATGTCTACTAGGAGCCAGAGCTGCTTCTACCAAGACAGAGTAGGGAGAGATCTGAGTTTATCTGTGATTTCAGTAAAATACTCTGTTTATGGATTGTGGCTGTAGTGAAAGAAACTTCTCTCTTTTTTTTTCATCAGTAGGTTAAACTGGTTCCAAGTGGAAGAGCAATTTAACCTAAAGTCTGAAAGCTCTGTTGTGCTTTAATGATGAGGGATTTACCATTTCAGTCTAATTTTAGCCAGTCACTTTTTGAGTCACCACTGAATAAGTTGTTGCAAATATTGAAAACCTAGACTTTATAACTTTGTTCACCAAGAAAGGTGTTGTGCTAGAGATGATAGTCTTCCTGTACAGAATGCTTACTGTTACTGTTCTATGATTGCTAAGTGGCTTCTTCTGATGAGAGGATATTTCATCAAGGACATAAACACAGACACAAATTTGGTTCTAAATCAAGAGTAACTGTAATTTGTATAAGCCTTCTGTAAGGTCTGTACAGAAGACATGGCTGAAACTGTATAGAAGTCATTAGTAGGCTAGGGGGTTGGGGTGGTGCCAGGAACTAAGGTGCATGGTTGATAGTCCCAGAGGTTGCAAGTTCAGGGCCATAGCAGAAGTGCTCATGGCACAGCTCTGTCAGATTCCAACAAATCTCTGATTTCTGCTGAATACCATGTCGTACAAGGACATAAAAAAGGAAAGAAATGAGTAGGTTATATGAAGTATCCAGAATGAGGGAGTGAAAACATACACAAGGGTATATTTTGTTTGAAGGACTTGCTTGAAATTTAAAAGATTCGCTATGTATTGTAATGTTATTTGTATGTGTTTTGGTGGGAGTAAGGGTTTCATCCCGTCCTTTTTCTTTTTTATAGTTTGCATAAATGGAAGCATTGGCTAGCAATGGAGTTGTAAATACGTTCAGTGAAAGGGCTAGTATTCATACACAATTGTTTTTGTACATTTTGTTACAAGCCTTGAAGACTTCAGTAGTAAAAAGAGGCCTAGCTGGGTTGGCTAGAATCTAGCTGGAAGAGCTACAGCCTATAAAATGATTTGGGGTATCTACTTTTCTTTTAAGTAACTTGGAAGATGTACATCATGTATCAAAGAGATCTTCTGGAAATGCAAGAAGACAAACACTGAGGTAAAGAGAAATTTCTTTTTTCTCTGTCATGTGAGTTCTGAAGACTTCAGCATTCCCAGTTGCAAGTTTTACTTCAGGTCTTCATACATATCTTGTAGGTCACATATAGAAGCACATACGCCTTTGAATGCAGAAATGGCACCTTTTCCCAGGATAAAGAAGCGGGGAAGAACCAGTGCTTGTCGAAGTTAGTATACAGTGGGTTTTATCAAGATTATAGGGGTATATGCAAAACAATTATATATAAATACATTGGTATTTTGAGAGCTGCGTGTTTTATTGGCTATTTCTATATAGCTGTCTTTCTTTGCAGAAATGACCAATCAACTTGCTCTTCACTTGCCCACCATTTTGATTGTTGTAAAGTTGATTGTGGGGGAGGGAAACAATAATCATTGTGCATCAGCTCTGCCAGCTTTCAAATCTGGGAGATAAAATGCCAAGGTAAAGTGGTAAAACAGTGCCTGCTTCATATTGCACTAATAGTACTCTAGATATGAAAAAGCTAGTAGTGGAACAGTACTGGATCTTTGTCTGTCTTTGGGTTTCTGGGTATGACTGCTTAGGGATTGAAAAAGAAATAGGTAGAGTGAATGGCTTTTAACAAAATGAAATTCTTTTCTAAAGATACACAAACTTACATGCATAAGACCAAAGCAGATGCAAAATTCTGTACTAACTTTATGCTCAGTCACAGTGCATGGTATCATTGTCTATCACTGATATTTTATTGATCTGTGTGCTCTATTTTGTCAACTTAGATTTGCAGAACGATCTGCAGAATTTGAAAAACAATGCAGAAACTTCATCTCGCAGGCTAACTGGACGAAAAAAACAGGTGTGTGTTGGTTGTGTACTCTAAATTAATCTCATATTTGCATGTGTATGCAGTAGGACAAATGTGGAAAGTATTATGCCACATGTGAATTGGCATCTAAGTGTACAGTCCAAAATACTTTTGTTTAAAAAAAGACTAGTAGCGAGAGACTTATCTGAACTCTCCTTCTATCTTATCTGGTCTGGTTCTTAGGTTGCACCTTATTTTACAATAGGAATTGAAAGGATCATTGATGTGCATTCAGTGATAGCTACAGTGCAGCTTGTTGCCAGTACTCAGTGGTTTGACCTTAAAGCATACTTTACACGTAACATGCATTTCTTGCATGGTGTTTCTAAATGTTTACTTTTCTAATTTCAAAGGTTGTTTTTTTTATTTTTCTCACTATTAAATGTGCAGCTAATGTGGATATATTATTAAAAGGGTATTTAAAATGGATTTGACTGTGAAAATGAGACCCTTCTGTAATTAATCTGGGGTATAGTTTACTTTCTGAAGTGACCCTTAGGACGACCCTTATGTAGTTATTGCAATTTGTAGTTTTATTCCGTTCTTGTGAGGGGAAAAGACATTTAAAGAGACGTTTAATAGGACATGCAAAGGTATTCCTTTTAGTCTTTTTCATGAGTGTACAAAATCAACAACGTAACACTGCTGGTGACTTTGCTTCTCATGAAATGGATGAACTTTTTAAACAAGGAAGATTTTCCCTTTTAACTGTCAGTTAAAAGGGCTGATTCTTCCATTCTTCCTTCCTTTAACAGAACTTACCAGTAGATTTAGCTAGTACTTTATCTAGTTCTCAAAATAGGCCAGCTGCTAAGGAGAGCTATTGTTTCCAGAGACTAATATGGCCCATTTCCTTGGTTTAAAACATCTGAAATGCTACTTAACAGTGGCTGACACTGGCAAAACCTTGAGAAATAGTTATGGGACTGACTGTCTCAGAAGCAACAACGATAGTTAACACTAAGTTCATTAAAAAGAATAACAGAGGGCATTTATACACATACATTTTTGTGCTGCGATATGCCGAATCTCCAGCACATCAGAGCAGACTCAGTTAATCTAGTCTGCTGTGCCCATGAGCTGACGCGCACTGCACTGCACACATTTGTATAAGCAGTGAAATGCTTGTCAGTGTGCAGAAAATGGTAACAGTGCACTTTAGAACTAAAACATCTTTGGTGTGTTCTAGTTCAAAAGCATGCCACCACCATTTTAGCAGCACTGACACATTTCGCCATTTATACAAATGCATGTACTGCAGTACTGAGCACTTTTAAAAGCACCTGGTGCTGTGCCGCAAGCATGTGTACAAATGCTATGAGTGCCCTGACACCGTTTGTCTTAAAATATACCCCTTCCTTCCAAAAACATAACCAACTTGATTAAGCAAATGGCTTCTTTTCTGTTGATTTCATTGCTGGTGAATGTGGCAAAAACAGCTTGTGACTTGGACACCTGACATTACATTTTCATTGCCCACTGTCTCAGTAACATGGCATATTACACACTTACCTTTTTTCAGTAGTGTGTTAGTAGTCAATTACATAGTTTTCAGACATTAGATTTGCATACAGACCTCTCGGGAAGGTTTGGTCAGATTATGATGACCAAAGTTGCCAACTATGTCATAAATTGGGAGTATTCAAAATGCAGAAACACAAATATATGGAGATACAAAACTGAATAGTAAGTGGGAAATTACTTTTTAGACTTCTAAATTATCAAAATAAAAAGGAACTAATATTTTAAATATCCTTTTTCTTTAACTTCTAAATATATTCAGTCTTCTTGCTTTCTGTACAATATGTATTCATTGACTAGAATTATTGCAATAAGTTCTGAAATTGAATCAGCTCATCACATAATTATGTGGATTATATAAGACTGTCTGCATGCATGAAAGAATTCTGTGAATGTCACAGAAAGGGTTGTTGACTCCCTCTTCCATGCAGTCTCCCTTTCAATGTTGGCTTTGTTCACTCATGTTTTTGTAAATAGAACTTCATTGCAATGGTTCAGTGCCCATTTTCAGCTTTTTGTTGCTACATATTTCAGTCTGATGTAATGTTATTGAAAGAATCTGCTCTAATTTCTAAAGACTTTCATTGTAAATTGAACTCCTCCAGATACAAGTGTCACACTTTAATTTAGGGCATTACAGGAGCTCAATTCTATAGCCATTTTGTATGGTAAGTCCTTTACCAACAAGTCAAATTGAAATTCAGTATGGCTTCTTGCCTGAGCAATGATTTCAAATTTGACTTCTTTGTGTTTAGTATATAACAAGATACAGGTTTGAGAGAGGATTTCTGGGGATTTGGAGGCCCGTGATGTATATTCAGCTGAACATAAGCTACTAGTATGCCACTAACCAAAGGATTTAATGTGACATTTGCATGTGTAGATGGTAGGGCTGTGCAAAACTTCAGCAGTCATTTTGCTTTGGAGGTGTTTCAGCTCCCAAAACACGAAATCAGAACAGAAGACCAAGAAAAAGTTCTGAAATGAAACAAAAGCATCCAAAACATTTCAGAGTTTTGGGGCCAGGCTTGCAGGGAACCAAAAACTAAGAGGAGAGAGGGAGAAGATTTGCCGGGGAGGGGCCCTGCTCTGATATTGACATCTGTAGTTGGCCAGTGTCTGATCTTTCCCTGAGGTTCCTTCCAATCTCAGTGCTCTGGGGGAGGGACAGCAGCCTGCTGTCATCCCACATGCAAATCTGGGGGCCTATGCCCCCCCAGGAGGGATCTAGCACTGCCCTGCAGCTCTCCTGGGGGGCACATGCCCCCAGATCTGCATACATAATAGCAGGCTGCCGCTGACGGTTGGAGCCAGTGCCAGCACCCAAGTCTGCTCAGCGCAGCCCGCACAGAGTGCTGGAAAGGACCCTAGCCAGCAGCAACAGCCTGTTGTCATCCTGTGCGCAGGTCGAGGGGCCCATGCCCCCCGGGAAGAGCCTGGCACAGCTCTGCAGCCCTCCGGGGAGGCGTGGGCCCCCAGATCTGCATGTGGGATGACAACAGGCTGCCGCTGCTGACAAGTGATACAAGTTTTGCTTTGAACAGTTTGAGATGCAGTTTCACAAAAACCCCTGCACCTATCTCCTTGTAACGTGGCAGGCTCCATTGCCTTAGAAGGGGCTACCATCCTTGCAATTTTCATCCAAATCAGGCAAAACATGACAAAGTTATAGGTATTTTAGTGATTCCCCATGATAGTCTATGGCCAAATCTCTGAAACAGCGTAGAAATTCCAAAACAGTTTTGGCCAAATCAAATCAGGACAGTGATCCAAAACACTGAATTGAATCACTGTCCCTCCAAAATGGCTGAAGCAGAATAGAGCCATTTCACACAACCCTAGTAGATAGTTCCTGTTCTTTATGCACTTCATTACAGGAATGAGGATGGTAGAGTAGCTGGAAGACCTGGGCTCAATTTCTGGCTTTGGTCTGTCGCAGTTTCAGGGTTGCCTTGTACATAACTATCCACAGAAGATAAATAATCTGATATACAGAATACAAATATGAAAGAGATTGTTGAACCTGCTTGGCAGATCTGAAAGGAAGTTCAAAATGAGGATCAACAGAAAACCCAACAATACCACCAGTTCTTCATATACAAAACCCAGTGCTTTCTCCTAGAGGCTACTGTTTTTGGTAAGGCAATTATTCGCTCTAAAGATTCTAAAACTGATAAAAACAGATAATTGCTAATAGCACATATGAGAGAACGTTTGGCTAAGCATTCAATAACTTTTTGTCCCTCCTTTAAAACATATATACATACAAGCTAGATATTTATGCGCCTAGTAGAGTTTGTAGAATCATCAGATTGTACATGCAGAATCTGAAGTGTATATTTCTGAAAGCAAAAAATTTGTCTTAAACTTAACCATTTGTAACAGGGCTGGTTTGAGCCTTTTTCAAAAAGTTGGTAAATGTCAAAACTTCACTACAGGGCAGTTGCACAGCCTAGCAATGTCTTGTGCACTTTTACCTTAAATTCTCAAAGAAAGGGTTTTTTTTAATGAGTTTGAATTGTTAACTTTTTTTTAAGTGAAATTCATCCAACATTTTAAGAATGAACTTTGGAAGGAGATTTAAGCAAACTAGAGAAGCTTGATAATTTTACATATTTCCATTTAAATTTGTTTCATTTATGTTTGCTTTTATTTTTTTTAAGCATAAATGCCTGTTTTTATAGCAGTTGTATTAGGACTTATTTATGCTTATTGGTAGCTCCTGGAAGGTACCAATTACATAATAATGCAAGTAAGAAAGCGTTTGGAAACAGCTTTTGTTTGCCAGCAGTGCTAAAATTGTGCTTTTGGTAGCATTTTCAAAGCAGCTTTACCACTTCAGAGCTCAGAGTGAAAAAAATGTCAATGTATAAACATATGAAAACCATTTTTTCCATATAAATTGCAGTAGAACAGGGCAAGAGAAGATAGAATCATATTTGGAATCTGCAAGCTCTTGCTGTTGCTTAGTTCCCTAGCAGAACAAGGTAGCTAGATCCAGATGTGGAGGCACATGTGGTTTGCAGCACCATAAACTGCACGCTTGATGCATTAAAACATACCCCATGTTGCAAAACTTGTGACCAGGTAACCCCTTCTGGGAGACTTGTAGGCTTGTGGCTTGCCTGCTGCAAACCAATATCTGTGCAGAACCCAAGCTGCTTGCAAAAAGGAGCTGCACCAGGGTCCAGAGCCCCAGCCAGCTTCATTGCTGGTAGAAGCTGCACGTGCCTTGGGGAGCATTGCGAGGAAGAGACCAGGGCTGTGCTGCCACAAGGATCAGGCCCCTCACAGCTCCCCTGCCATCCATCATGCCAGCAGTTTCTAAGTGTGCAGCTGCCACTGCTATGGAACCCAGGCTGCTCGCAGAGGGCAGGCTGCAAACAGCTGCACTCAGCTCCACGGTAGTGGTGGCTGCGCGCACACGTCGGGGCACACTGCAGGAAGGGAGCTGGGGTTGCATTGCTACACGCCCCTTCCCTGTCACGCACTACATGGCACGTGTGCAACCACTAGCGGCCACAGAGCCAAGCCAGGGCTCCAGATCTGATGCACTGATTGCAGCTTCCCAGCTGCCTGCCAGAGCCTGGGCTGCTTCCAGCAGGTCTTGCAGCCTCTCTGCCACCTGCTGCAAGCAGTCTGGGCTCTGTGGCCGGCGGCAGCTGCCCAGAACCCGGGCTGCTGTGGCATGCCAAACAAAATGGCCTCATGTGCCATGCTCTAGTACACCTGCAAGGGATTCCTGACCCCTGCTTTAAAATATATAGCACAGGGATGGGCAAAATGCAGCCCAGGGGCTGGATGCAGCCCGCCAGGCCATTCTGTCTGGTCCACGGGGCCCCTAAAAAATTTAGAAAATGAATATTTATCTGCCCTGGGTTGCCTGTCACGTGGCCCTCGATGGCTCAGTAACTGGCCCTCTGCCCAAAATAATTGTCTGCCCCTGATATAACAAGTAATCTTTAGGCTAGTTTCATTTATTCTTTAAGGTTCTGATCATTGAAAGCAGCTGTGTGTATGTGGCCCATATTCATACCTGAATAGATCTTTGCCATTCTTTTTATACCTTCGCTTCCCAGAATGCTCACTTTTGAAGTCTGCACAGTGCTCCACTGTCACCTATCATTACACTAGCTAGTAATATCCAATAGCAGAAGTTATGTGTACATTTCCCAACATAATGGAAGAGTATTGAATTTGCAATATATACATTTCTGAAAACAATTTCATTAGTAGTATTTATACTAACTGTTGAATTTAAGCTTCCTACATCAAACTTAATGTGTATTCTCTTTTTAAAGCGATGGACTTTGGAAGAAGACAAGAAATTGAAGAAAGGAGTAAAGGAGTTTGGCATGGGAAACTGGACTAAAATTCTGATCCATTATGACTTCAACAATCGAACTGGTGTCATGTTAAAAGATAGGTGGAGAACTATGAGTAAGCAATGTAAGGTATCTTTGATGTAAGGAAAAGCATTAACTTTTACTAAGTTTTATCCAAGAAAATTGATTTTAAACTACCTGCCTCTTCTTTCCAAATAATCTTGGTTTATGTGTTTAAAATAATTCCCTGTGGATTAAGTTAAAAGTAGTTGTGTAAAATAAAAGTGATGATAAAAGTTCACTATTAACTCAGGTCTTCTTCAAAATATTAAACATATTACAAGAAAGTGATTCTGCAGAGTAAAAAGTACTCAAGTTTGTTTCAACTGGACAGAGTTCAGTTTCAGAACACTTGACATCCTTCAGTGTTGGTACAAACAGGTTCCATAACTGCAACCTGAACAGTAATGTGTAAACTTTTTATTTTTAAGTACTTATGTGATATAATAGAACAACTGGTATTTTATCTAGGGGTGCACCGATAGAGATTTTTGGGGCTAATACCGATAGCTGATTTTTAAGGAGGCATATTTACCAATACCAATCCAATTTCCAATACGCAATCCTTCAGCTTGAAGAGCTGTGTCCAGCTGGTAAGTCTGGTGTGGTGGAAGGGGAGGGGAAGGGAAAGGGTGTGGGGGGTGTGGATCAAGGCCCCCATGGTGAGAAGGAATGGGGCTGGGGCAGTCGCTGATCAGCCAGGGCGGGGAAGGGCATGGGACAGCCACAAGCAGCTCATCCGGGGGGGGCGGGGTATGTGCCCCCCTAGATCTGTGTGGTGCAGGGTGGGCTGCAGCTGCAGGCTGGGGCTAACGTGGGGTGAAGTTGCAGCTTGTCAGGGGGGCACAGGAAGCGGGGGGGTGGCTCCCGCCCCTGCATGCAATTCCACCAGTGCTCATTTGGTGGCTCCTGTTGCTGCTCCCACTGCTTGCCCAGGAGGGAGGCAAGTGCCCCCAGATCTGCATGGGGCAGGGTGGGCTGGGGCTGGACTATTCTCTGCTGGGCAGATCCGGGGTCACATGTCCCCCCTCCCCCCCACAAGCAGTGGGAGCAGTAGCAGGAGCTGCCAGACAAGCGCTAGATGAGCTGTACACAGGCGGGAGCCAACCCCCCCTGAGCCCTGCCTCCATCCCACACCTGCCCCAACCCCACACCCACCCTCACTGGGGGGGCCTTGATCTGCCGCCTCCTCCCCTTCCCTCTTCTACGACACCAGACTTACCAGCTGAACACAGCACTCCAAGCTGCCAGCTCTGCTCCTCGCTGCCTTAGTGCTGCATGGAGACAGAACACACGCACGGGCATTTATCAGACAAATTATCAGCCGCACTGAGACAATTTCCAATACAGAAAAAATTATTTAAATGGGTGCTGATCTGATAATGGACCAATGTGTTGGTGCACCTCTAATTTTATCTAGTATTTTATGTGTACTGTTATGTGTTTTTAGCCTTTGAGGGGGAGTTCAGTTGTTTTCAAATAAAATTCTAATTCATGCAAGGTATTATCTTTAGTTGTACAGAGAGATGCACTGTATACAAAGTACTTTGATAATTGTATCTTGTAAAGGTTAGCACCTACAGCCATTTTTAGTTCATCATTAAAGTACTTTTTTTTTTTTTAATGGCCTAATATAATACGTGTTTGATCTTTGTCTAACATTTTGTTTTGGAGCTGTCTTGGTCAAAGAAGCTTGTAGACTTATCTGCAGACATGAGTCCACCAAACTGAGGTTTTGTAAGTCTTGCATTAATTATACAGAAAAGGACTTTTACAGTTTTTTTTGGCAGATGTGTGCGCCTGTTAAAATTCACATCGCTTTTTTCCACTTCTAAATTACTTTGTTTTATAATGGTGCCATGTAGCAGTTGGAAGCAGGACTTCTTGTTAACTTTTATTTTTAAGACTCAACTTTAATCTGTGGGAAGGATACTGTTTTAAAATCACCTACAGAACTAATGTAACTGTACATCTTAATTCTTTTTCCAAAGAAGAAAAAAAGGTGGCCTAGAACAGGGAGATAAGAGTAACACATGTGGTCATACCTGGTACTTACTTCCTCCATGTGTATTACTATTTCGCACTTGATTAGTAGCAACCTTGACTCTTTATGTAGGGCTCCATCAATTAGTCAACAAGACTTGGAATGTGCAGCCCAACTGCTCATTTCTAGAGTTCATAGATCTGTCTAGTGTGGTTTGGTAGTGTAATATCAAAAGATGAAGTTGGTTCAGTCAATTAGCAAAGCCAGATTCTGGGGTGGGCAACACATCAGCATATTGTTTCTCTCATTAAGTGAGTGATTGCTGCTTCAGCATGCTGCCACAGACTGCATAAATATGTTAATTAAGCTCTCTCTTATGGTCTTGAATCTGTGGGAAAGGATTCTAGAATCTCTAAGAAGAAGCTTTGTTAGACCAAGGAGAGAATGCATGTTCTTTCCTCCTGGCCATATTAGAAATCAGCATTGAAGAGTGAAATTGTCTTCCTGACCATTTTTGAAGGCTGAAGTACTATGATGTACATAGTAAAATATCCTTTTTTCTTTTCCCTTGCTTTCTGTCTTCCCAAAACAAGGTGCCTGACTGACTTGAGGGCATGTGGTATGCAAACAAATACTGCCCTTCCCCCCCCACCCCTACCCCCTTCCGCCCTGTATTTC